TAAGAAGTCATACAATTTTATAAAACTTATTTTCTAAATTGTAAGCAGGAAGTAGAAACTGAAGTGGATATGTGGAAAGCAAAAGTACACCCCCAATCAATTACGAATATCTGTTTTAGATTAGATTATTATTTTAATATACAATACATTTAATATATATGCAATTTTCTAATAAACATTTATAAATTTAACATGTGTACAAATGATATATATCAATATAAAACATTGTTTTATAATTTAATCATCTACTCATATTATATTTACAGAAGGAAATATTTTATTTTTTCTTTCGCACCAGAACAAACTATCTCAAATGACTTAATAATCAGGCAATAGGTACCCAACACGGAACAGTAAGTATATTTCGGAACATCGTTGAACCGATTAATAATTTTCAAAAATTTCGAAATAAAAATCTCCAATGAAATTTGAATGAAACTTTAAAATTGAATTTAATACCGATTACAAACCATACACACATATTTTTATATTCACACAATCAAAAATTCAACACAATTTCCTCCTCCATCTAAATCTCAATCAATTCCGCAAATATCTAAGTCGCAAAGATAAAATTGTCAACGAATACAATTATGGGAAAATATGACATTCAATTTAAATACAACAAAACACTTCCCAAGAGGAAACAGGAATAAGAACACCAACACACTCGAACATCACAAGAAAAAAAGCGTGCTTTCAAGGTAAGACAAAAAAACGAAAGGAACGCTGTTATGGCAGCTTGACTGGCATCTCATCTTCTAAGCTTCAGATGTAAAAGCAAATTGTCTTAAGATTTCACACCATCTCATTTGTTGGTGCTTAACATTTTTTTTTCTGGTGCATTAGGCAAATACCCCAAACGTCAACATGGTTGTTGGGGTTTTTTTCGCTTGCTGCACAGTTAACGAGATTCCAACATTATTGCCAAGACGGGGTTTCGCCATCTCGTTAAAAACAATGAAGCAGAAACAACAACAAAAACTTGGAGGAAACCCCAAGCGAATAAAAGAAAAAAAAAACAACGGAAAAGGGAATATTTAAGTATCACAAAAGCAGGACGACGGCGACGATGACGACAAATATTTTTATACACTTTGATGCAACATGAGCGCAATTTGTACAATTTTTTTTTCTCAGCACACAATTTGATATCACAATACAGACACTCTCACAAAAAGAGGTTAAACTGATGTCATTTGAGTGGAAATGAAACTATGTTATCTAAATGTTGACGAGCAGTTTATCCAATAGGACAATTATGACTATTTTTACTATTCTAGATAATATTTCAAAATTCAATTACCAAACTCTCGTACATACACAGCTAACTTAGCAAAGTGTTCTATTTTAAACTATGTGAGTTTATCATAAATAAATCGCACGGAAAAACATTGTTTGTAATTTAATCTCGTCATCTCTTCTCTTCTTTTTTTCTGACATTTTTAAATTGACAACAATTGACCTGTGATGAGTTATCACACACACAGCTTCTAAAACGATTTAAATGTTCATTTGGAAACAATATTTGTTCACAAATTTTTATATTTCGTGTTTGTTTGTCATTGTGTACACATCCAAATCAACTTAGTCACGCATATATACAAAATACACAGATTTGTAGAAATAACACACACCAACACGGACAACTGCACGTTTTATTATCTCATGTGCTATGCAATGTTTATGTCCCCATGGAAAGCTCATTTTGGTGTTTTGTTTGGTTGTGTATGTATGTATGGGTGTGCGTGTGTTAGTATTTTTGTTTATATTTTATTAAAAATGAAAACTTCGTTGTGGTTTTATATTAACACACAATCACATAAACATGTCCACACACACAAATGCCAGCCAAAGCATACAATGTGAGTTCTGTTAGGAGGAAAAAATATCAACATGTAGAAAAATATTTGTATACAAATATTATGAGAATGAATTAAATTGCAGGAAATATTTTGTTTTATATCTACGGAAATGTGATTTCCATGCGATGGTATACTATGGCATTGAAGAAAGGAAACGGAAGGGGAATTAATATTTGTTTTAATTGTTGTTAAAATAATGGTTAAATTACACAGACATATTTATTAATTATTCATAATTCGTGGACAGAACAACGTCCACCCTTAGCACCTCATGAGTTGTTTAGTCAATAATGTAAAATTTTTTATTGTATTTTTAAATTCATTGAATTTGTATTTTCAGGCAATATCAAAAATTTTTGCTACATTGAATTGTAACAGTCATTCTAGGCTAAATTTGGTATGATGTGCAAAAATTTCAATCGGTCAAACTTTGGTGCACAATTTTTTATTTTTTGGCGATCACAAAAAAGGATGTTCGTTTGCCAGCCGATTGAAATTCGGAATTTGGACCATTTTTGCGATAGCTATACATTCACAGAGAAACGTCCCAAAATTTAAAATCAATTGTGTTATTAGTTTTTGAGTTATCGTGCCCGCCATTCGCAAAAACGCAGTTTGAAGAAAAACGCGTTTAAAGTTTGAGAATCCCTCTCGCTGTCACCTGATGCTAACACAATAAATCGGCTATATCTTCAAAAATTGTTGAGATTTTCACATGAAAATTAATAGGAACATTTTTGAATTAGTGTAGGTTCAAATTAAATCAAAATAAAAAATTAAATTTTTTGAAACCGAGAATGGGTGGGGTCCCCTTAAATAAATTCATTCTGGACTCATTTTAGGGTTGAGTATTTGGTCCACCATTAAGATTAAATTGGTACAAAATACATGGGAACTACATATGGGCAAAATTTCGACAAAACATTACGCATAATTTTTTTGAAGTCGTGGTGGAAAAATTTGTATACTCCCACAGTCAGATGGACATTCAAAATACATGTATATGGGGCTATACATTTAAATTTCAATTTCATTATTGGACCAAATCCACTTTAGATCAGATATCCACACTGCGCCAAATCATGGAAAATACCCACGAAAAATAAATCTACACAATCTACCTATTCGTCGACTATAAAACGGCATTCCGCTCTAAAGTGTTAAAGACTGAAAAGTTCTATCGGAGTCCATCAATACCGTACACGAGTTCAGGCAAGAAGTCTAGTAGACTCACACCAACTGTGGACAGCTTTGAGGTCAGAGATTTTATCTATCTCGGTACTGCCAATAATTAAACAACTAAAAAGTCCTTGAGGTCTAAAAATAGTTGCCAATATTAATAATTTTTGGCACGATTACAGCAATTCAACATATCGAATTACAGCAAATTCGGTATGAAAACGTGTTATATGGGGGCTACCCCAAAACTTGAGCCAATTCGGTTGGAAAACGTGACATACATCTACAAAATATTGTGATCTCTATCACAATTTCAACAGACGGACAAACAGACAGACATGCTTAAATCGACATAGATATTAGGTTGGGAAAAAGAAATAATTTTTTTTTTGTAAATGGTTTAAGACAGTTTTATGGTAGATTTTTAGCTCCTGGGCAATGTTACGACTGCTAACGTACCGGTCAACTTCGATCATTTCGAACATTATTCCCAATTTCTTTCTCTTTGTTCACATCTATTTCTCCAAACAAAAACAGCAAAATAACTTTTTAATGGATTTCTTTTTCTCCAACCTAATATATACTTTATGGTGTCTCCGGTGAATATTTCGAGGTGTTACAAACGGAATGACAAAATTAATCATCTTATCCATCCGTCTTATGGTGAGGATATAACTACTGTCTTCAGTTTTTAAAAGGATAATAATAACATATATATGATACTATGGTCAAACTAAGCCATTTATAAAACAGACCCCTTCTTGCATTTTAAAACTCAAAATTATATATGGATCTCAAGCATTGGTACCAGATGAGGCAGCTCTGGCTTCGAAAAATCGATAACCCAATATGCTTAGACGGTGAATATCGACGTCCAATGAACGAGATGCACCAGCTCAAAAATCATACAGAAGTTTGTCTACTGACGATTCACGCAGAAGGCAAATGACAATAATTCGATGGAAACATCAAGTAAATGGAAAAAATAAAGTGACAAAAAATATTTGGAAACTTAGTGTGTTAAATTGGAAAAACTGCGCAAAAGATGTAAAAATTGCTGTCAGAATAAAATGAAATGTCAAACTGTAGGCTTGAACATAAAGAAAATGAGACCTATACAAAACGTGGACCGATATTGATAATTGTTGCTAGAAATATTTGAGACCTAATGAACACTCTGATTACAAAATTATAACAAAATTATATAAAAGTACACACAATACCTAGAAAATATACAGTTAATATTCGGTGGAATCCCTTGTATGTAAAATTTCGTAATGTTCGGGTATCAATTGTGGCCTCTAGAACGACCTGAAAAATAAATATAGACAAACATAATGCTTTTGTCAATTTGGTCACCTAAATATTAACCGCTTATAAAAAATCTTATGCCGGAACTGTGATCTGTATTACGTACATTTAATGGGCAGACGAACAAACTTATATATCTAGATCGATACAAAAATATAGGGTACAGAACCGGTATTTTGGGGCTTAAAAATAGTTGTGTAGGGTATACAAAATAATTTACATTTAACACACACATGTATTTATTTTATGATTTCTTTAACTCATGTGAACCCAAGACATTTATAAAGATTTGGATACATATTGCCTGAATATCGAAAACAAATTGTTTGCAAACAATAACTATTCGGTTATAATGTATTCCTTACCGAAGGATTTTAATCATTTTATCATTGCAACCCCTCCATATTACATTGTTTTGTACAATTGTACATTGTTTTGCACAATTATTCTCGGTTCTCAAAATTCATTTTTTCTTTATTACGAGGGCTACTATATTTCTGGTATATTAAGCTCATTTTATATTTGACTTTAATTCTTCCAAAAAAATGTTATCCGTTTTAAATCCCCAACAGTTTAACAACAACATTTTTTATATTGAATAATATTTCATCGTAATTATAACAACTATACGTTCATTATTCTTACCTGTGTTGCTGATGAAGTTTCAATATATTTTGCACCAATTGTAGTTGCCAGGTCCCAGGCATCTGCATACGAGATTGGTTGTTCACCATTAGACTATTCGAGTGGAACAGAACAGTGAATAAAAGCATCAGGTTAAATAAAATCAAAAATTCAGCAATGCACACATGAAGCGTTGGTGAAGGAAATGAAGAAAAAACAAAACACAAAAAATAAAATAAATAATTAAAAATATACACATACGAAAAACTGTGCAAGTAAAAATAACAATTTAATCAACATAAAGAAAAACAACAATAACAGCAACAAAAATCTTTTAGCTCATGTTGCTCAAATGCAACTGGTTGCAGTTGTGCTAACTTTTTTTCCATCAACTTTATAATAATTTAATAATATTCTCTTGAAATTTATTTTTTTTTCAGGACGATGTATATTCATGTTATTTCCGTTAAACTTTAAATAAAAATAAAATGTTCTTGTTGCTGGTGGTGTTGTGATTTTGTGTTTTTTGTTTTTTGATATCGTGGTGTTATGGTAGCTTACCTGTAATTTATTCAGTACATTGGTATTTGTACGCAAATCCGCTTGGGTACCGACC